AGGACAGCTACACGTTAATAATACTGCCTTGATAAGTTTGGTACATGGACAGTGAGAGTCCGCTTCCCGGGTACTTTTCTTTTGAGGTTTATTCGTATCCCCAGCCCGATAGTACAACTCATCGACATTACGCCCGGAGCAATCTATCGGCTGTTTACATGAATTCTCAGGTATAACGCGTTCGTCTGTCTGACACGTTTTCTTCTGAGAAAACAACACCTTGTTGGTATCTGCAGGAGTCACTCGTTTGGAATCACACTTTTCTGAGGGTGAAACCCTAACGGGCTCTTGGCCTTCTATACGCACCCTCAAACAAGCAGCTACAAGAATCAATTTGTTAGAAGGTAACGTACGACCCCCAGTCTGGATGTTTGCTCGGGGTTCCTTCAACGGTCTCAAGCGTTCCTTAACAGGTGCTCTGTCTCGATCTTTGGGTAGAGAATCGAGGCGGTCCTTCAATGGAATTCTAACTCTGGAGAGATCCACACCGCTGTAGGGTTCCACTGGAAGCGTGGGATCGGAAGGAGTGGGATCCGAAGTTGACGAAGGCTGGGGAGCAACATCGCCTGCTTTTGCCTTAGGCATTGATTTAGCCTTTGGCATCCAAATTTATTTGGATCTCGGCGATCTCTTAACCGTCTCTTCCTTTAGCATTTCTTGTGCTTTTCGCACAAGAATTTGGGCATGCGCAAGAAGTACGCGAAGCTTCTGAATGTGCTCCTCAAGAGTGGAACGGTTCTATTTAACATGGACTCATTTGTTAGTAGGTGATTGGGAGGAGGTTCCTGAAGTTTGCTGTGGAGATGGCTTAGCCACTCGGCGCTTTCTGAACTCCAGATCTGCTTGGTAACAGAGTCCATCCACCTGATCCAAAGCCTTGGCGAATTGGCGGGCAAGACGTTGACGACGCCTCTAACAATCCCTCTTTGATAAGGTGTCCGGATTTGTGGCTTTGGCTTCATCAGACGCCGACGGATCGTTGCGAGGTGTAACTACGGCAGCGGCAACGGGGAGATCGCCTTCTTGGGTATTCACATCTGAAGAATAGTGGATCTTTCGGGAGGAGGAGGCCTTCCTGCCCTTGTGAAGAGAGGCAGATCTGGAGGAGGAGGAGAAGACGTACTCCTCGAACTTCTGCTGGTCGAATTCGTATTTGACCTCTTCGTTCATCAGGATCTTGATCGCTGGTTGCATCACAACAGCTTTGGCAGCGAAGCTGTTGGCTCCCACTGTGGTCGCCAGCTTGTTTCCGTCGAAAGTTGATATCTTCATTGATGAATCCATTACACATTTATCGATTATAGATTCAAAGTAAAATTAGTCTTTTTATAAGACTTTCTACACAACAAAAATAAAAAAAATACAACTCTTTTCAAACAAACGCAACGGGTGTTTATCGCCCGCTGTTTGCGTAGGATCTTGGTCTGTGATGGGGACGTTGATATCCGTGGATCACCAAATAATCAGATCAGATCCGGAGCTTCGTTGATTCCTGAAGGAATCAAGAAACCGAAGCAGTTATCTCGACAACGGCGAGATAACTACTCTTTTCGAGATCACCGCAATGGGGCGATCTCAAGGAAGGAACCGGGAAGTGTAGATATGACGAGCTCCTCTTTTTTATGCTGAAGAACTTGATCAGATCTCTCCTCCTCCTCTCTGAAATTCATGGCTCTTCAGTCCTCAATTCGGTAGGGCTTCGCCGACGCTCGAGAATTCCAGATACGAAAAAATGAAGGCCCTGAGGCTGTATTTGTAGGCTTCAGGAGCCCTGTCCTTGGATAGGAATGGTTGATTCCCTTTTATCTTTAGTTAAAACTATTTAACCACATTATCAGATTAGTTGGAACAAATCCAGATGGTTAAAGATCAAAAAACAACTCTAAACTGCCAAAAACAGCTTTTCGGGTCTGCGAACACCCGTGGGTGTCTCGGTGTGGCCGAGACACTTGAGAGTGTCTTGGCCAAGCTGAGACACACATGGGTGTCTCGGCTTGGCCGAGACACTTGTAAGTGTCTTAGCCAAACCAAGACACCCCGGGGTGTCTCGGTTTGGCTTTTTGGTTTTGGCACGTCGAGTTTGTTTCTACCGTAAATTCGTCATCCAGACTCAGAATTACGCGGTTCAAGATGCATTGGAAAGCCAACGAGGAGACCTATAGGATCCCATGATCGAATCATATGTGGAGTAAATGGGACACGAGGGGTGCTCCGCCTTTTGTAAGCGACATGGGGCTACCGATCAGCTCTTGTTTCCGTTATTCCGAAGTTCTGTTGCTTCATATGGTCCGTCGACTCACTTCATATGTTTGTCATCGTCAAATGAGCTTCTGTAACTCTAATAGCGATGTTCATCATCTTCTCTCTATCTCGAGCCGTGTGCGGGGACCTATAGGTAATTTTTGACGCCTACAATAACTACAAATAATAACATAAAAAAATTAAAAAATTACAAATAACACAATACAAATTTAGAAATATATATAAACTGCACCCTTTAAAACCCATAAAGTACAAATAATCTTAGAAACTCTAATAATTATGACAAATCTCTAAAACATTTAAAATTTATAAATAGCCCTCTAAATTTTATAAACAACCCCGTATCCCTTGAAAGTTTGAAAAATTACTAATATCCTCTTGATACTTTTACAATAAGCTATTTAAAATTTTATAACTTGCCCCATGAAAGTTACAAAAATAAAAAGCACTATGCTTAAAGTTTTAAAATGTTACAAACAACTCCCAAAAACATTTATAAAAAACGTGTTGGAAGTTTCCAAAATCACAAACAACCTTGAAGAATTTATGAAAACCCTTGAAAGGTTTGTAAATTACAATAAACCGAAAAAAACTTTTACAAAATAGCCATTGGATACTTTACAGTGACCATTTAAAAATTTCAAAAATTACAAAAAATCCTCAGAACATGACAAATAGCATCCCAAAAAATTATAAAAATTATAAATGACCCCCTAATTAAACATATTATATTCTAATATTGTGATATATAATTAGCTTTGGGAATGCATGCATGAGATGGGAAGGTATAATGGTCATGGAAAATCTTATATCCTTTGTACTAGATGATGGTGGAACTTCATGCTACCCATTTTGGAGATTAAAGGGAAGTCCTAATCTCATTTGTGTCTCAATCTAGTTGAACCAAATATGGGCATTGATTGAAATATCGAGACATTGAAATTCCAGTCACTTTTGTAGTTCTTAAAATGTCTTAAATTTTAGATTTGTAAAGGAGATTGATGGTTAATGATACTTTTAACTCATGAAAATACTCTATTTTCTTCTTCTAATAACATAGCAATAAAAGGTACTCATTTTCTCTTTCTTCATAAAAATTTAATATATTATTTAATAGATGGTCTGCAAGTTATAGCCTATAAAGAGGTATAATTAATCATCTCCCTGATTACATTAGGTTATCTTCATGTATTTTAAGGGTGTATAAATCAACATATATAATCTAAGAAAATCACAATAATTTGTGCAAGCACAAAATTAACACTTGTATATTTATATATTAAAGGTTTGGTCCCTACATTAGGGCTTCATACTCAAGTCGGTCCCTGTACTTTATTTTTTTCTCAATTTAGTCATTGTACATGGGCTTCATACTCAAATTTCGTCCCCCTACTTTATTTTTTCTCATCTTAATATCTATAGTGGGGCTTCATACTCAAATTAGTTCCCCACTTTAGTTTAACTTTTAGTGTTTTGTAGTAGACTCCTATAACTTTCAACATCACACTAAACCCTGAGAACATTCAAAAATCACACTACAACCACAATAACTTTCTAAATCACTAACACTTGTATATTTATATATTAAAGGTTTGGTCCCTACATTAGGGCTTCATACTCAAGTTAGTCCCTGTACTTTATTTTTTTCTCAATTTAGTCATTGTACAAGGGCTTCATACTCAAATTTCGTCCCCCTACTTTATTTTTTCTCATCTTAATATCTATAGTGCGGCTTCATACTCAAATTAGTTCCCAACTTTAGTTTAACTTTTAGTGTTTTGTAGTAGACTCCTATAACTTTCAACATCACACTAAACCCTGATAACATTCAAAAATCACACTACAACCACAATAACTTTCTAAATCACACAACCCCGCCAAACCACACTAAACCCCCAATAAATTTTAGAGTTGTAGAAAATCTGCAATAAGTTTGTGCATTTTGTAGATAAACCCCATAAATTAGAATAAAAAACAATATAAAAGGTATTCTGAAGGACAATTTCAGCCAAAGAAAAAAGATAGTTATAGTTCATGAACCTAACCTGAGCGAGAAAGAGGAAAACTAATCACAAAAAACGAGATATTTATATTTTTAAGATTGAAATTATAAAAAGGTCATAAAGAGTTTTTTTAATAATAAGAGGTCTTTTGCTCATTTTAAATTTTAGGTCATATAGGTTGCATGTGCCATGTTAGATGTAATGATGTTAACTTTGAGGGTTTTTTTCAGAAGTCATTGGGGGTTAAGCTGTGATTTTTTAAAGTTATTGCAAGGGGTGGGGCGGATGGTCAGGTTGGAAGCGTGGGGTGGGGTGCGGGGGATTTGTGTGATTTTAAAAGTTAATATCTGTTTAGTGTGATTTTTAAATGTTCTTGGGGGATTTAATATGATGTTCAAAGTTATTGATAACTCACTGCAAAATGCTGAAAGTTGAAGTATTGGGGGCAATTTGAGTACGTGGCATCAGTACAAGGATAAAATTAAGCCAAAATAAAGTAGGGTTATCAAATTTGAGTATGAAGCCAGAATAAAGTAGGGTTATCAATTTGAGTATGAAGCATCAGTGCAATAACTAAGTTGAGAAAAAAAAATGAAATGCGGCAACTAATTTGGGTGGACCACATTGGCCTTTTAGCCTTTAGCCTTATATTAAACAGTCAGCTAAGTCTTCGGTTCCCATTTGTTGACTCCACCCTCAAGTCTTCCAACCAATCCGCACGCTATGTATTTTCCACGCGCCCTGATCACCCACTTCTATTTAAAAAACTCCTCAACATTAATAAATCCTCATTATCCTATCACTGCCCTGCGTCAAATAGATAATGGCCGGCTCCTCCGTCCTCCTCCTCCTCTTATTCATCTCGATCTCAACCGTCCATTCCTCTGACTCCACTGCTCTCCGCCGTGTAATCTCCGACCTCGGACTCCACTCCCACGCCGAGCACCCCTGCCAAACTTCGGGCGTCACGTGCCAGTCACGTGGGTCAATTCTTTTCACAACGCGGATCCGACTACCTTCCCGCCGGCTGAGCGGGTCTATGCCCGCATCTGTTGGCCTCTTATCGGAGCTCCGTGAGCTCTCCCTCCCCAACAATCGTCTCTCTGGCGCCTTCCCCTCCGAGATCGCCAACTGCGTGAAGCTTGAAACTCTCAACCTCCGGAACAATCGCCTTTCCGGCGGGGTCCCAATTGAAGTCTCCTCCCTCCTCCGCCTCCGTAGCCTTGACCTCTCCTCTAATAGGCTCTCTGGCGATCTCAACTTCTTGGTCCACTTCCCCAACCTCGAAAATCTCTCTCTTGCAGATAATTTCTTCTCCGGTCGAATTCCTTTAACTCTCTCCTCATTCCGAAACCTCGTGTCGATAGACCTTTCGGGCAATCAAAACCTCCACGGAGATGTTCCTCGGCTTGAAAACTCTCTCCGGCGAAGCCTGCTGCAAAATCGTTACTTGACTGAGTCTGGGCATAATTTGACGAAAAGTCATGGCGGAGGTTCTATTGTCGCTGCTCCAGCCCTATCTCCCTTGCCCTCTCCCCATCATCAGGACAAGAACAAGAACAAAGTCCGTAATTGGATCTTAGGATTCATCGCGGGTGTGCTAGCTGGCATGGTTTGCGGCCTTTCGATGACAATTTTCTTCCGAGTGAGCCTCAACTGCATCCGTGGGCGATACAAGAACTCTGGCGGCCCTTCAATCTTCAGTCCTATTATAAAGAACGTGGGCGATCTCTCCTTTTTGGAGAAGGACGATGCAATCTCCTCGTTAGAAATCATCGGTAGAGGCGGCTGCGGCGAGGTCTACAGGGCTGAGCTCCCCAACAACCCCGGCAAGTTGATCGCGATCAAGAAGATCAATAAGACGATCGACAGAGAACCATGTGAAGAAGAGAGCAAGCAGCTTAACAAGGCCATGAAGCAAATGCGAGCAGAGATCCAGACCGTTGGCCACATCCGCCACCGTAACTTGCTCCCTCTAATAGCGCACGTGGCCCGTGCCGACTGCTCTTTCCTTGTCTACGAATTCATGAACAATGGAAGCCTGCACGATGCCATCAAAAGAGTCTCAGAAGGAAGCACAGAATTGGGCTGGAATGTCAGGCTGAATATCGCCAAGGGGATCGCTGCAGGTTTAGAATATCTCCACATACATCACAAGCCGCATATAATCCATCGGGATTTGAAGCCTGCGAACATATTGTTAGATGACAACATGGAGGCTAGAATCACTGATTTTGGATTGGCGAAGGAGCTCCCTGATGCAAATACGCACATAACCGGATCAAGTCTCGCCGGGACGTTCGGATACATCGCACCGGAGTATCACGGAACGATGAAGTTCACGACCAAAAGCGATATCTATAGCTTTGGAGTGATTCTGGCTGTTCTTGTGACGGGCAAGTTCCCGAATGATGAATTCTTTGAGGAGACGGATGAGATGAGCGTGGTGAAATGGCTGCATAATGTGATGTCCTCGGGGGATCCGACTCGAGCGATCGATCCGAGGTTATTAGGGAATGGGCACGAGGAGCAGATGCTGCTGGTGCTGAGGATTGCTTGCTTCTGCACGGTGACAGAGCCTAAGGACAGACCAAGCAGTAAAGATGTGAGACTTATGTTGGCTCAGATTCAAATCTAGTTGGTTTCCAAGTCCAGGATGCTTGTGACTGCGAATGTACGTGTATAAATAATAGCATCAATTAGTGATGAATCTACTTATATATGTTTCGGTTTTGTGCTAGATTAAGCTGAGAGTAATATAATCGTGTCATGTAAGTTTGCTTTTACGGTGAACTATTTGGTTTGATGAACTTGAAATTATAAATCGAATTACAATTTCCAAAATAATTTTCTTTTAAAGTTACAGCATTTTTTTCAGTGGAATAATTTTCTTCATTCCTTCCTTCAGGAGCAACTCATCAACATAAAAGAAAAAAATTCAGAAGAAAAAAGAACAAAAATGAGAAATTTTTGTTTGGGTAGAAAATTAATTTAGTTGAACAATCCATTACAACTTTAAACATTACAACAAATTCAAGAAATTAGCCTTTTTATAAGACTTTCAATCAACGATTACAACTCTTTCTCAAACTTTACAACAAATTCAAGAAATTAGCCTTTTTATAAGACTTTCAATCAACGATTACAACTCTTTCTCAAACTACACACAATAGTAGTTCTAACTCCTCAACTCTTTCTCAAACTACACACAATAGTAGTTCTAACTCCTATTGCTTGTGCGGGATCGTTGCCGGTGACGGGGTTTATCCGTGGACCGCCTACGGATCAGATCCGGTTAGCAGAAGATGGATAATCAATGTTTTTACTTCACGAAGAAAGTAATCGCAGCAGCGGTAATCTCGACCAAGCGAGATCACGGCTCTTCTCGAGGTTAAGACTAAGCTTAAATCCGGAGGAATAGGAAGAACAAGTCTCAGATCTCTCGAACTCTCACTTTGTTGAGGAACCCCGCCAAGATCTGCTAACTCTCTGAAATTCGTGCTCCAATCTCCAATTCGACAGCACTTCGTCTTCTTTATTTCCAGATCCCGAGAAATAAACACCCGAGCTCGTATTTATAGGCTCCGGTTGAGGGGTTTTTGGATCAAAACGAGGAATTCCTTCTTATCTTCAGTTAATAACTGATTAACCATAGTATCAGATCAGTTGGGACGTTTAGGAACAAACAAATCCGTAAAGAATCCGCGAAAACTGAAAAAACTGGTTTTGGATCGAAACTGGCCGATTCGTCACTTGGTGGCTCGGCCATGGCTGAGCCAATGGCCTGGCCGGGTCATTTTGACGCGACTCGGCTGCTAGGGGCTTTCTTGGTATTTTGGGCTTCGACTTGTTCCGTCGTTTACGTGTATTTCATTGTTTCGCTGACTGGTACGCTTCCTCGATTCGCTCTGTGTGTTTCATGAACGCGCGGACCGCTTGGCGGTGGCCGATGAGTACGTGGGCCACTCGGACAAATCTTCTCGACTTGGATGATAACGTTTATCGCCTCCTCTTCGTCTCGAGCCGTATACGGGAACCTATATGCATTTTTAGACGCCTACAGATACCCCCTCCAAAGTGTTTCAGCCTCATTCCTTTATAGAGGAGTCTGAAATACTTTGTGTGAAAAGCCCCACACCTTCAGTCAGTGTTAATGGACCTATAACCGGTTTCAGTTCTTGACTTCTCCATATTTCAGTCTATTCAGTATTTTGTTGAACAGTTAAAATTCTTCCGGTGCTGCATTTATCGTCTGACCATTGTCGAAGTTTCGAATCGAAATTGGTGAGTTAATTTTGGCTCATCTCGCTGAGTTGACTTTGAACTAATTATCTGCATCGCAACGCGTTGACCGGCGTTGACTCCAGGGTTTTGTATCGATCGGCGTTGACTCTCATCGCAACGTTGACCGGCATTGACCTGGGGCTACGCATTGACCGGCGTTGACTCTAGGGTTTCACGTTGACTCTCATCACAACGCGTTGACTCTCATCACAATGCGTTGACTGGCGTTGACCCGGGGCTACGCGTTGACCGGCGTTGACCCTAAGGTTTCGCGTTGACCTGAGGAGAACCAGTTTATACTCGTATACTCCTGAGAGTTTTGGGAATCAGTTTAACCTCGTGTACCCGTTGGAGGTTGTCGGGTTATCCTTAAGAATATTACGCGTAATATTTTCCAGGAACTTCCCGTCAACAGTTTAGACTCATATACCCATTGAAGTATCAATACGGGCGTCGAATATGTCGAGAAACGCCCGAAAAGTGGGTCAACATGCATATGAATTGCCCCCAGATCCCTCCACACGTGCGAGTCAGCATTTCGCGGCTCATACGCATGTAAACCAGCAAATGATATATGATTCGGTCTGGTTCAAACCGGTTTGAGTTGGTTCGGGCCAGTTTGGGTTCGGTTCATGTGGGTTCGGTTCAAGGGTCCGGTTCACTTAAAATGCCCCCAACTTAAAAACCGACTTCTTCTTCCCCTCTTCTCATTTTTTCGGTTTCAAAACAAAAGTTTCGTTCCCCCCAATCTTGTTTCGGTTTTAAACTCTTATTCCCCAAGGATTCTAACCTCTTCCTCCTCCTAAACCTCTAAACCCGTCCTCTTCAAGGCCTTCAACTTCTTCAAACCTTCAAGGCAAGCTAGGGCTTCGAATTTGGAGAATTTCGAGCTTCATCTTCACAAGGCTTCCTCTTTGTCAATTCCTTGAACTCAGGTAAGAAACCCTTTCTCACATAGTTTTAATTTTATTCCTCTTTCTTGAGTTCTTAATTTTCCAAAACCCTAGTTTCTTGATTTGGGGAAAACTCAAATTTTCATTTTTGTTCTTGAATGGTGGCCGAACCCATTATTGGGGGTTGACATGGCCGGAAATATGGATTTGGATGCCTCTCCTCTTTAATTTCATGCTATTTGCTTTTCATGTATATGTATGGCCGAAATTTGAGGGGGACTTTTGTGCAAAAGTGGGCTGAAACTTGAGGGGGGCTTATGTGTGAAAAGGTGGCTGAAATTTTGGAGGGTATTGTTGCCAAATTGACCAAACTTTTGGGGGTTTTATGTGTAAATTTAGGGCTGAAATTGTTGAAGGGACTTTTTTGCAAAGTGGCCTTATTTCTTTGGGGGTTTTATGTACAAAAGAAGCCAAAGTTTTGGGGGTTCAAATGCAAACAAGGGACTGAAATTTTGAGAGGTTGGGTTGCCTACTCATGGCCGAAATTGAGGGGGGTGTTGTGCAAAAAGACCACAAATTGTTTGAGGGGTTCATTTGCAAAAGGTGACCAAAAAAATTGAGGGACTTATTTGTAAAAAGGGCTAAAATTTTGGAATCTTGGATTGCATTTAGTTGAGGAGTGGGTTTGAATTCCTTCGAGGCTTTTGGTTAAAGACTAGGTTCATTTGTCGGCTCGATTCGAGCATAACCCGGAACTATTATCTCACTTTTGAGTATTGATAAAAACTCCATATCCCAATTCTTGTATCTGAACCACTGATTTCCTTTTCCGATTAGCTATGTCGCTGAGGGGATCACGTGCCGCGAGGGGTCGATCTGCTACTCAGTCACCTGAGCCAGAGCCTTTTAGTTGCACATGTATAACGTCATCACTTCTTTTATTCACGAATTCAACATTAATATATCATACTGCATATTGCATTCTCGCTTTGTTATCCTTGGTGAGGCAATTGGGAAGAGCCGCTACTCTTCTTTGTGGGGGTGGACGCTTCATAGCCATGTTTTGCTTGGTCAAAACGCGCCTTAATTAATTTGGGCCAATTTCCAGCTGCGTTATACTCCGGAGGACGGGTATGTTGTCATGTTACTTGTATGACAACGTACGTCGTGCTTCGTGTGTATAATGCTGTCTAAATCGTCTCGCCTAATTAATAAGCATTTTCTCTTTTTTGCTTAGAAACCTATATGGACATGTTATATATTATATTCCCGTTTTGTCCTCCTCGGTGAGGCAATTGGGAAGAGCTTCCATTCTCCTTCGTGAGGGCGGACGCTCCACAGCCGCGTTTTGCTTGGTCAAAATACGTCTTAATCAATTTGGGGCGATTTCACATTGTGTTGCATTACGCAAGACGAGGTATATTGTCACGTTATTGTGCGACAGCGTGCCTTGTCTTGCGCGCGCGTGATACCGTTGAAATCGTCTCACTAATTACAGGGTCATGACTCTATCTCACTGTTCCGTGAGATGAGTTCAACGTCTGTATAAATAAAAAGGAAATCTCATAATTACATTTTATAAATGCGCATTATTTGTTTCAGTCGAATTTCCTTCAAAGGCGATCAACGCCAATGCGGTGGAAGACCGTTGCAGCGATGCTTATGCTTCTACTAGAGATCCCATGCTTATTCCGGCTATCCCCCAATTTGCTTCGGGTGGACCTGAAGAACTCCCTAAGTTAATACGTGAGGGAGATCATCGTACTTTACGGCAGCTGATCACGAATGCACTCCTAGTCAAGGATCTCAACTCCACTCACCCCCTGAAGAAACCGAATTATTTATTCGGTGACTCTGTTGAAGACCTGGTTACCGTATCTCTCGAAGCTAAGCAATGGCTGCATAAAGACGACGGGGGCTCTTTATACATTCCTCACATTCCTCGTCATTGCTCGTTGATTGAACGGTAAGTTGTTAAACGGGAGATGTCGTAGGATTTGACGGAGGAACGTGAATGCGTCCATTGTGGATACATCACTCATCAATCCGCTCCTGGCTCAAGTAACAGAAATCGTGTCACCGGATTGCATCCCGGTGTATTGGGATTGAATGAACCGCCACGAGGTGAGCTATGCATAGTTGCTAACACTTTGAAGAATCGCCTCGCGAGATTAGGGCGAGAGATGCCTGCCACTAATCACAGATGTTACGGTTGGGTCCACTCCTCGGATAAACTCTGGTGGTCTCGCTTAACCGGCTATGTTCTCGCTCGATGGGGAGAAGAATTGAAGGCTAGTGGTTTATATGGAGCTGTCCGCGCTACTATGTATGGATTGACCATCAGCATTCCTCATTTCTTTGTATTGTTAGAGTTCTACAATCCTAATACCAACACATTTCTGACGAAACGTGGGGAACTGGGATTAGCTCTTTATGAGATGAATAAAGCCTCGGGCTTACCGATGGGAAACATGGTATACCAAGAGTATTTCCCCTCAAACCGAGAGTTACGTCAGTTGAAGGCAACTACCCCGAATCGTTATGACACATTGTGGGATCTCACCTGCCACTACCATGTGGCCTTGGTGGGTATTGAGTCGTTGTCGAAGGAAACCAAACCGCAAATCAGTTTGAAGAGATTTATAAAATATTTATTCAGGAATCTAGAAA